CTACGCAACCCTACCCTGATCCCCCATTTTGAGAGCTAGTGGGGTGTCTCTCCCCCCCCCCCCCCCAACTAGCTGTCAAAATTAAAAATGACGTGGCCATGCGGGGCTTCACCCGCCCGCCCGACCACGTAACTCATTCACAGTATTCTGTGAATAAGAAACTACAAGTCCCAACAGCCTTAGTAGTGGTTGACTTGTAGTTTTCAATGAAGTACCACGGCGCTGTGAGTTCCGTGATAGTTCATTGATTCTTTCTGTCAGTAATCTTGCCCATACGAGGTTCAAGTAAGCGGATACACTGACAGGTCTGCAGAAGACCTGCTTGGCATCATCGATCTGCTGATTGCTGTGCAATGCTTTACAGGCTCCTACAACAAAAAAATTATAAATGCACAATTTTTACCTGCAAAAAAATGGCATTTATTTTTTTTTTTGTTGAAAGGTGAGCTTATCCTTTAACTCAGCATTTCTCAACATTTTTCATTCATGGATCCCTTTAAAGTATGCAAAATATCAAGGTACTTTTGTCTACAATGAGGTCCCCCATTGCATCACAGTCTCCCTGTCATGTTAGAAACCCTTCCCTTTCACATCAGAGTCACCCCATAATATCAGTGCCCTCAGTACCCCCCCCCCCCTCCTTCTTATCACAGTCCTCAGCCCCCCTACTGCCACCACTACGTTTACATCAGAGTGATGTCAAATCTCTTGCGGTTCGTGCGGTATCATGACAGTGGGTGGCAGGAAAAGCAGGTGTAGACTGAGGCGGACTTCCATTCCCTTCTGAATGCTTGGGCAGTCATCAATATTGCCAGCCCAATATCATGCATTTTCATGGTGGTGGTTGGTCTACATGCACCATGGAAAGGCTTTGCGCTGTTTGGCACCCCTGATGAGCCCAGACAGCAGCCTAGGATGCCATAGTGCCCTGGTTGAGAAATGCTGATTTAACCCTTCACAAACACAGCCTAGCACCCAGAAGATTGTAGTGGTATGAAAACAAAAGGAAACAGGAACTTGCAGGGCTTTAAAAAAAACCCTGTTAGCACAAGTACAACACATCTGTAATGAAGGAGGCATTACACTAAACTTTCAGGCAACTTATTTGTTGATATGCTGGCCACCCCATCCACCTGATGATGTCATCTGTGCCGAAACGCGTCGAGTGGGGCTTACGGGAGTGAAGTCATTACGTACCGCAAAGTAATTTGATGACTTTCAAGTAGCTCACGGGAACGTTGTTTTATGCCCAGACTGGATGTGCTGTTTGGCCGTTACCGGCCACTGTGTAATGTGAGTGTATCACTATGTTTTTTAACAGAGCATTTTTATACAGTGTCACACTATGGGCTGGCACCTTGTTTTCTGCTTTTGAGAGTTTTGTAGTATTGCTGGATCCTGAGCTTACAGCATTGATGGTCTGCTGGCATGAAGGTGGCCGAAACAACCCCAAAATATCTGTTTGACCGTTTTGCTTTATCAGCAATGGTATATTGTATCCAGTAAGCTGCTGACGTTTTCTGAACTTTTCACTGGCACTGGGTGTTTTTGTGAAGATTCTACAGCACTGCATTTCTTTTGGAGGACTTTTTTGGACTTAATTTTTTTTTGGAGGGGAATTTTCATTTGTTATGTTATTATTACATATTTGTTGGGAAACGCTATTAGTTTATTAATTTTCACAATTTTTTAGCGTCACATCACTACTTATTGATTGTTTATTCAAACTTAGTATCACAAGTGTTTTGTATGTTGGCAGCTTTATTTACTAGGTGGTTTTTTCATATCTTTAAGTGCAGAGGTTTTTTTATAATATCTGTTTTGGCATATCAACAAATGCCTTACAGGAAAGGTAAGTATAGTGCCTCTTCTATTACAGGTATGTAAAACAAAATGATTTCAAAGGACATGAATGGGAAATCTGGAAGGTTGCATATGGAAGCAATTCATCAGCATCAAAAATATAAAACAAACCCTGTATGGAGAGAAATATTTTGTCAAAGTCCTTCAAAAAATACTTCTTGACTGGCTGCCTCTGGCTTTTTATACCTTCTGAGGGGAGGTCGGTATTGGCAGAACCCCATAAAAAGTATAGGTTTCAGTTAAAAATATCACTTATTCTTTAAACACTTGCCCTCCAGAGGATTTACCCCCCCCCCCCCCCCTTCTTCCTGACCAGGCCATTTTTTGCAATACGGCGCTGCGTTACTTTGACTGACAATTGCGTGGTCATGCAATGCTGTACATAAATGAAATGTATGTCCTTATTTTCCCACAAAGAGAGTTTTTTTTTTTGGTATGTGATCACCTCTGCATTTTTTATTTTTTGCGCTATAAACAAAAAAAGACCAACAAAAAAAATACTTTCGACTTTTTGCTATAAAACATATCCTGTAAAAAATGTAAAAAATCTAATTTTGTCATAAACTGAGGCCAAAATGTATTCTGCTACATGTCTTTGCTAAAAAAAATCCCAATACGTGTAAATTAATTGGTTTATGTGAAAGTTATAGCGTCTACAAATGGCGGTATATATACTGGAATTTTTATTTTTTATACTTTTAATGGCAGCCATCAGAGACTTATAGCCGGACTGCAGCAGGCATTCTGACACTGGTTGGAAACTGAGTACCTGCCACTTACATCCCAATGACACTACTACAGTGATCAGTGCTAATAAAAAGCACTGACACTGTACTAATGACATGGGGCAGGAAGGGGTTAACATCTGGGGCGATCAGATGGTTATTTGTGTGCTGTGTGGTGTTTTACATAATGTACTGTGTGTGTTTTACTAGGGAAACATGCTGTTGTTTCTCTGCTGTGTAGAAATACACAGCAGCATGTTATTGCTGGCAGGAGAGAGACCTGTGTTGTCTATACACAGGTCTCTACCCTGTCAGTGTTACTGGGCGATTGCCGGGTGCCGGTGCAGAATCTCCGGTTGGGACCCCCGTGATTGACATCTGTAGTACTGCTACAAAGCGACAGGGCTGTGCAAAATCACGTATATATACGTGATTTTGCGCAGCCCTGCCACCCTGTAACAGTACTTCTGCTATAGGACAGAGGGGAAGTGGTTAACCAAATCACATTATATGTGACTCAAATATAGGCTGTATAAACAATGTTCAGTGCACTTCACTTTGGAATTATTAAAAAGAAACAAATACACTTCTAAAATTGCAGAGAGCATTAATTAAGTTAATTATTTTCAGTGTGATATTCAGCAAGTAATAATTGCTTCATTTAAGAGCTGTAATTAAATATTGTAGTTTAACAACATTTAGACTACACATAGCATTTTAGTAGACTATGGGTCACAGGCAGCTAATTTTATACGTAAAACGTGATGAAAAAATGTGGAAGCTAATTTATTCTTATGTTCAATTTTTATGTTTTCAAGAAAAGAACACTGAACAGTAATGACTGTATAAAAAATTCATTTTGTCTGAACTGGCAGCTGTCAACATGAATTAAAGGCTAGCTCCTTAAACTAAAACTAAAGACAAAACTTTTTTTTTAGTTTTGGATAGAGTTGAGATGGATTAGAACCCCTGTGAGGTTGTTATTGCTATGTGTGCTCCTTTTAGGGAGATTCACCCTCTCTATTCGTCCTGCTTACTGTTATCACTGAGAGTCCAAGTGAAAGAAATGCACAAATTTTGGGTTGTAATCAAAACATAAAAAGAGGAGAAATCTTCCAATAGGGGTACTGGTTCTGGAGATCCCTGGGACAGTGTTCTATCACTTTGGAGGGATTTCTTCTCATTTCTCTTTTGGCTATGTTATAAATCTCTCCAGTGGTACACAGATGAAAAAAAACCTGATAGGGGTTAAAACACTCCTTAACTCTATCTAAAGTGAAAACATTTTTTTTCTTTACTGTTGTTTTAATTCAAAATGGATGGTGGTAGTATCAGTTGGACACTTATTGGATTATAGCCATTCAGAGGCCTGCCAATGGCCCTTAACCATGAACTTAATGACCAACCCCAGGCTCAGCTGTTTTTGTGGTTTTTAAATTTTGAATCTTTAATTCACACGTGAACACTCCCCGCTCCCATCAGAAGGGGTCTGTAATCAACACTCAGTAGTTCTGGTGTTGTGTCTCCGCTCCTTCCCTCTGTTGTGCTATTCCCAAAGCAGAACCACAGCATCATCACTGTGCCAAGCTTTGTGAATGACACAGCAGGGATAAGGGGTGGAGGCACAACACCGGATCTGATGTTGACTATAGACCCCATGTCTATGTGCAGCTCTGCTGAGCTTAGTGAATTCCAAAAGTAGCACAATATGAGTGTTAATGTGTGAATTATGAATTTAAATATATATACTACAGCTTAAACATTATCCATCAGGCTATATTCAATCATCTTGATACCCAGTGGAGACTTTTCAAACTTCAGAAAATCTCTTTGCTGCATGATGAAAAAGATTATATAGTCCGTGGCTGAATAGACACAAACTGAGTTGATTCTCAAGCTGCTGACAACCATTGAGTCACCTGTGTGTATTTCAAAGTATTTCTCGGCACAGTTACTTATGTTTTGGAAACAACATGGTTTCCAAGCCCTTGAAAAAATTGTGAGAATGAGACATATAAGTGAAAAAGTGTTTACAGACATTTATTCACCAACTTCCTGAAGAAGCGGGTGTTGACCAGAGGAACGCGTTGAAGTTTGATTTCCTGAAATGACTCAACTATGGAAATGTATTTAATGATTTGCATATCAATGTATTGGGAGATTGGGGATGTAAAAATTATGCACATTTTTAAGATGTTTGTATAATGAACAGCATATGATTTTTTTTTTTATCTGGAAGTTTTCAATTGAGAAATAAAAACTGTGATTTTACAAATAGATTTATGGATAGTCTGATTCCCAAAAAGTCCAGAAGTCTTTTGTAAGATATGGAGTTTTTGTCTTAGAAGTGATAAAACATGGAAAATCTAAGTCAATAAAAATCTGATTATTCCTTTTATGTTTGATTTTCAGGCAAAGCTGGCATTCCAGAAGGATATGATTAAGCCCTTAACTCCGACCTTCCTTTCATCGCCTTTGGCAGCTGCTGTAACCTCTGCAATCTCATTACCGCCTCGTCCCCACAACTCACTGTTTCAGGGGACGGGCCTAGCACCCACATTTCTAAGACCAGCCCATGGCTCTATCCGTGCCACCACAGCCTCTATACTATTTGCACCATATTAGCTGTAAAAAAAACAAACAGCAAATGAGAGACAAAGGACTAGAATCTTCAGCTTACATAAAGACTCTTTGCACTGTTGTTGCTTCTCTTTAAAAAAAAAAAAAGAAAGGAAAAAAAGGGCCATCTCTAAAAATCATAATTGGGGAGCACACAGTTTCAGCCATTCTTTGCCATTAGCAAAAGCTCAGTGAACACAATCACTGAAACGCGTATAGTCTGTGTTGTGAAAAACAAGCTCTTTCTAAACTCACCTAGGTTTGTTTTTTTGCAGCCTTGTCTGTGATTCTTTTTTTTTTCATCAGAGTACAGAAAACATGTGTTATTAATATATATATATATATATTTTTATTTTTTTTTTTGTCCTGGCAGACTTGAAAATGGGGTTCTTCCTAGTCCTTTGGTGTAAATACTTGTTTGGAATCCAAATGTCCTTCTTGAAGTGTAGAATACATAAAATAAAATTTAAAAAAAAGTTAAAGTGCTTTATTGTGGACAACACCAAATCAATGGCTACTATAAAGTATTATTCTCTGTGATCAACTTGTGAAGTCCACATGGGGATGTGTAGTATTGTTCTATATCCAAGTAATGTTGTGTCTTGTTTAGCTCTAGAATGTAGATGGTGTTTAACCAGTGGGAGGCAATTCAGCTTTGATACATTTTATTTTTCTCATTTCGTTCCTGTTTTGATAGGTGATTCAAACTAGATAAGCCATATTACATGATATTGTCCTAAAGAGAGATTATTATTTTGTTGCTTTTCTCATAAAACTTCTAGAATATTGTCAAATAGCTCAAAATATACAGAAAATATTTATACCCACAAAGAGAGAAGATAGAAAATATCTCTTTGGATGGAAAATTAATATAATGAAAAGTTTGGTGAGTTTATAAAGTATTTTCTGTTTTAAAGCTGTTTTTCTTTGTTATATTAAAGGTCACGTTATTTTGTGGCCCTCTAATGCAATAATGTACAGAGTATAAAATATTTATAGATGAATATCCATCTTTTTTAATTTTTAAAAGCTTATTACAGCGCTGGCATTTTTCTGAAAATGTGTTAAGGAGGATACAGACAGGAATCTTTATTTACTTGGTTGTCGCAGCACATTAAACAATGAGCACAAAAGAAAGCCTTTTCAAGCACATTCATTTAGAGCATTTTTTTTTTTTGCATTTGTTAATGGTTTCAGTCTCTGTGTACTTTTTTTTAATGTACCTTTACAATAAAATACTTGAAAAGAAGTCAGTGTCTACATGATTTGTTGGGAGTTGTTCATTAAAATGTCCACTAGGTAGCAGCACAGTAATCACAATTTCTAATACCTTACTGAAGCAATATATATATCTTTTTGAAGGTTAGTCAAACCATGTTGATGCATTACAAGCTTTAGATGAAAGGCACTATTAAATTGATCATTTATTTGAATGTGCATTTCAAAAGATGGCAATTATTTTCATAAATATGCAGCTTTGATGTAATGCCTATTTTATAGAGGACATACACAGTTTTTAGTGTCTTAAAATATATGTAAAGATTACATACATGCTGCAGTCTTCACTAGAGTTAACATTTTTTGTTTTTCTGATCCCCACAGTAACATAGTGTTATTACCTGTTGATCCTGTGTATAGATCTGTTATTTTTTTCACTTCCTGTAAAAGGATGACAACACTGTTTGCTCTGCAGTGAATCTGCACAGCAGCGTTGTCACCCCCTGGACATTGTAGTCTTGGATGGACATGTAATTTAAATGGACCTTATGTGACAAACAAATTAAGCACTGCATCTAACAACCTTTTAAGCAGATAAAGCAACAGGTGAAAAAAAATCCAAAACACTATTGTTCTTTATTAATGGCACTGCAGCACAAATTGTGCGTTAGCATGCTTTGCAGTAGCTTACTAAAACACACAAATCTGAATTGGCCTATGCCATTAAAAGGAAAATCCTTGGCACTGTTATATGGTTTGCCCCAACTGCTGTAGCTCTAACTTTTGGTGGACTGGTTGGACTGTAAATGTGGGGAATATTATAAATGTAAATAGAAAGTCATGTGAAATATTAGAAGAAATTCATATACTGAATTCTAGCATTACAGGTATTAACCCTATATAGTCACCATAATACAATATTTTTTGCTACAGTGGTCCTGTAATGGGTAATATATTGTGCAGTGTTGTACCTTACAACAGCTTTGAGCGAACAGACAGACTGATCTTTATATAATAAAAGAATAATAATAGTAATACATACAATACAAACAAGTAATCAGCAAAGGGCCCAACAAATGTCCTGGGAGAATTGTACACATATACCTGGGAATATATAATTATTAATAACAATACCACCAGGTGAATGTTGCAGGGGCCCATGGACTATCACAATGCAGTGTCCATCTTTGTGTAACAGACCTAAAGGCAAGGTCAGCAACGATGGAGAGATCATCCAACCATTGTCCAACCAGCCTGGAACTCAGATTATCACCAGCAGAAACCATAGTGTGGCACTGGAACTCTATCTCTTAGTCCCTACTAGTTTTCTAATCTGTCATGCAGCCAGACCTCCAACTAACATATACGGCCGTCACATGCCTAGTTATTGAGCTCTAAGCTAAAACTAACCATAGAATCCCAGACCAGAAGGGATAAGGTTAACTAAAATAACATGAGCTGCATATAAACTGTATTGCAATAAACAGATTCACCCACTAACATACAGCACACACACGCACAGTGTATCACAGACTTAATTATCTGACAAGTGCATGTAGAACAAACAGACAGATATACTGTACTTCTGTCACCAATATTTATATATACAATGACGAAGATAATTATTTGATCCCCTGCAGGTTTTGTAAGTTTGCCCACTTACAAAGAAATGAAGGGTCTATAATTTTTATCATAGGTGTATTTTTAAATGATAGAGACAGAATATCAACTAAAAATACAGAAAAAAACAAACGTTATATATTGAGTTGCAGTTCAGTGAGTAAAAATAAGTATTTGATCCCCTACCAACCAACAATAATTCTGGCTCCCACAGACTGGGTAAGTGCTCATGTGGTACACAGAATAGTCCTGTTAATTTAAGAAGGTACTCCTAACGACAACTGTTATGTGTATAAAAGACACCTGTCCACAGAATCTCTTTCTTGGACACCAGCATGGGCAAGACCAAAGAGCTGTGAAAGGACATCAGGGACAAGATTGTAGACCTGCTCAAGGCTGGAATGGGCTACAGGACCTTCAGCAAGAAGCTCGGTGATAAGGAAACAACTGTTTGGAGCAATATCAGGGATCTAGGGTTCTGCAGCGATACGCCGGGCGGCGCATGCGCAGAACACCGACGCGCTCTAGCCGGCGAGTGGTGGGGGGGTACCTGGCGCAATCGCGGGAACAACAGCGATGGCTGCGCATGGGACACCAATGACAGCGCAGGGCGCGCTATTTAAACAAGCCAGAAGGTATGTGCATTGCCGTTTGGTCTAATTAATCTGTTCCTGTGTTCTGTTAGTGAAGCTTCCCTGTTGCCAACCTCTGCTTGATCCTGACCCTGCTGATTGTCTCCTGCTTGATCTCTGGCTTGACCTGACCACTCTCCTGCCTGCTACTTACGTTTGATCCCCCGTTGCTGAACTCGGCTTGACCTGACATTCTCTGTCCGCTCCTCTGGTACCCCGCTGCCGCACGTTGCCAAACCCGGTCCGCCTGACTACGCCTTACCTTACACTGACTGTCCATCCCCATCCCGCACGGATCAGTCCCTGCTGCCAGGCCTGCCAGGCCTCTTCACATCAGGCTACTATTCCCCACACAACTCTGACGGTACCCTCTACCATAGCCGGACGTACTCAGGGGTCTCACGACCTGGTCTCAGTCTGCTCCAAGTCCATCCCCACCATCAGGGGCCCTGGTGAACAAGCGGACGGGACCTTAAACCCCGTGCACCCTGAGGAACTCCGTGCTGTGGGCAGCTAGAGATACCACCAGGCGGTGGCTGACAAAGCAATTACTTGCAAATGGAAGAAATAACAAAATAACCATCAATAGCCCTCGGTTTGGAAGCTCCATGCAAGATTGCGCCTCATGGGGTAAGGATGAGCATGAGAAAAGTGAGGGATCAGCCTAGAAGGAGTTTGTGAATGGTGAGACCTCAGTCACCAAACAAACCATTGAAACACAATACAGTTTCCATGGATTGAAATATCATGCAGTGCCCGCAAAGTCCCCCTTATCAAGAAGGCACATGTAAAGGCCCATCTAAAGTTTGCCAATGAACATATAAATGATTCAGAGTTGGAATTAGGAGAAAGTGCTGTGGTCATATAATGAGACCAAAATTGAGCTCTTTGGCATTAACTTTACTCACACGTTGTTTGGAGGAAAAAAAAAATGCTGGCTATGACCCTAAAAATACCATTCCTACAGTCAAGCACGGAGGTGGAAACATTATGCTTTGGGGCTGTTTCTCTGCTAAAAGGTACAGTCCAATTTTTCTACATTGAGGGGCCAATGGACAGGGCCATGTATTGTAATTGGATGAGAACCTTCTTCCCTCAGCCAGAACACTGATGATAGGTCGTGGATGGGTCTTCCAGTATGAAAGTGACCAAAAACATACCGCCAAGTCAACAAAGGAGTGGCTCAAAAAGAAGCACATTAATTTAACAGTCATGGAATGGCCTAGCCAGTCTCCAGGCCTTATAGAAACTTTATGGAGGGAGCTTGAAACTTCGAGTTGCCAAGTGACAGCCAAGAAAACCTTAAAGGATTTAGAGAAGATCTGTAAAGAAGAGTGGACCAAAATCCCTCCTGAGATGTTGAAAATCTGGTAACCAACTACAAGAAATAATGTCTTACCTCTGTGCTTGCCAACAATTTCTTTTCTCCAACAAGTGCATGTTTTGCTTTGGGATCAAATACTTATTTTACTCACTGAACTGCAAACTCAGTTTATAACATTTGTATCATGTGTTTTTTTTTCCGGATTTTTGGTT